GCTAAAGGTGTTCTTGACTATACTGGCCTGGATGTGTACACTTTGTCCCTAGGGGCTGTGCCCTTGTGACTTCTTTCAGCTCCCCAGTGTGTACCTACCCTATACTTCATTAATACCCAATGAGTTATAGTCCCCTGCTTAAGCCATGCTATTTCAAGATTTCTGTGACTCTGCATGTTTTGTTTTACTGCCTGGAAAAAAACTGTCTCCTCCCCCAGTCTCTCATACTCTTAAGAGTCTAATGTCTCCTTTAATCCCTTTTAGCAGAGTTCATTTTGCTTTGCTGTGATCTACCCATAACACTTGTTGTATACCTTTGTTATAGTATGTATCACACTGAACTGCAATCATTTCTCAGAACACTTAGCTTCCCCGTTAGACTATGAGAGCAATGCTAGTTAACATTTGAATTGTTACGTGAGTAAACTAAGGAGATTTTATGAAGTATAATATCTTTCTTTCCTAAGCATGGAACTGTAGGTATCCCTAATGGATTCCATTAATCCTTGTCAGGGAGTATCCTCCCACATTGTCATACTCCACGAATAATATATGCAACTGAAAAAGAAGTCCAGGTGGGCTATGTTTTGGTTCTTGTATTCTCTTTTGCCTTTGTTTGATATTGCTGTCATTTGAATCAGACCTGATTAGACAGCGTGGGCAAGCATCAGAATCAGATGCTTATGAGCCAGGAAGTTAGTGGGGTGAGAGATCTTATTAACTCATTGAAGGGAAAGTGGTCTTACAGGAAAAAATTCTTGGGTTACTCTGAAGTAGGCATAGCTTTTCCAGTTTAGTTTTTTATCTCTGGATCCATTAAACATGGATATGCCATTTTTAAATTATAATTATTTCTTTTCCAAATGGCTTTTTTTGAGAATGCTATCAGTATTATACAAAGAATACACAAAAATACTAAATTGCAGTGTTTGTAATTACTTTTCAATGATCTGGCCTTTGTTTTAAAGGATTTTAAAAGACTAGATGTTTAATTTACTATATTTAACCGAACTTTCCTTGAGCAGAAGCTGGCAACCTCTGTCTTCAGCTCTTCCCAGGTTTTTGTGTGCTATACGACATGCTAGGTACTAGGGAATATTAAGGTAAGAAAGACACTAGGTTTCTTCACTAAGTTCCTGTGGACTTCTGAAATTCAGAATAAGTTTTGCATGAGGTGTTAAAATTTTAGTTTAGAATTGTGACATCTTTATTTTATGGACTAGCTCTTTTAAAGTGTGTTTATGTGTTTAATTACAAAAGTGATACATTCTTGAAAAAGAAGCATAGTGTAGCATCTTAGACTGTGTGTGGACTCAGCCAACAAATTACCTGGATTCAAATGTCAGCTTTACCATTTACTAGCTGTAGAGTCTGGAGCACATTATTTAACCACTTTGTGCCTCAATATTCTTACATCCTCAATATCCTTATATATAAAGTGTAAGGTAATGAAAGTACCTATAGCATGTGAGTATTGGGAGTGTTAAGTTCAGGCATGTGAAATATATGAAACAGTTCCTGGCATACCTAAAAGCTTGATGTATTTTACATATTATTACAGTTGAAATAATCCAGAAATGTAGAATTCTCTAAATCATAAGAGCATAGTGACTATTCTGTCAGATTTTATCTCACATAGCATAATCTTTTAAATTTGTTTTTTATCCTACATACAGTAAAAATAACTTTTTTATGTACGCTCTGTGAATTTCAACAAACGCATAGTCTTGTAACCATCACTGCGATCAAGAAACAGAAGTTTCCTCAACTGCCAAAGCCTCCCCTGTGCTGCCCCTTCCTGGTTAACCCTCTCCCCTCCCCCACCTTTGGCAACCACTGATCTGGTTCCTCCTCCTATAGTTTTGCCTTTTCTAGAATGTCATATAAATAAAATCATATAGTAAAAAAGAAATCATACGTTTTGGGTCTGGCTTCCCTTACTCAGCATAGTGCATTTGAGATTAACTCAGGATGTTGCATGTGTCAGTAGTTTGTCTTTATTGCTGAGTACTGTTCCAGTCTATGGGTATAGTACAGTTTGTTTATCCAATTACCCCTGACTGACATTTGGGTTGTTTCTAGTTTTTGGCAAATATAAGTAATGATGCCATAAACAATCATGTACAGGTTTTTGTGTCAACAGAAGTTGTTTTTTGTCCTGGATATTCAGTAGTGGGATTGCTGGGTTATATGGTGCGTGTACATTTAACATTTTAAGAACCCACCAAACTGTTTTCCAGAGTGGCCATACCATTTTGCATTTCCACCAGCAATGTACTTGAGTACTGATTGCTTTGCGTCCTTGTCAGCACTTGGTATTGCCGGTTTTTTTATTTTTAAAATTTTAGCTATTCTAAATAAGTATATAGCCAGCATAATTCATAACCATAATTCTTAAATCAAACTCTTGAGACTTGGAAGAAGGTATGTAGAATGGGACTAGATTAAATGCAGAGCCAGGGAGGAGCTCATAAGGAGGAGATGGAGAGACCATTAGATTTGTGAGAGCTTGGTATGTCTATCTTATTCACTGTTGTATCCCAAATTGACTAGCACACTGCCTGGCACACAGTAGGAATCTCTTTGTATATTTATTGAATCATTCAACAAATGATTGAGAGATTAGGGAATAAACCTACCCTAGGTTGGAAAAGTAATTCTAGATTAGGCTTGGTCTGAGTAATCCCAGTATATTCATGTGACACATCCCTTTATGTCTGTTTAAGTCTGTGTTTAAATACATGTTTAAAAGTTAATTCAGTTCTGTGATTCCCAGCAGTTTTGCAGGAAGAAGCAGAAGGCAGAAAAGACTTGATGTCCTAACTGGTTATGTGGATTTATGAAAGTCTTCTTAACTCTTCTGGTCCTCAGCTTCATCACTGTAAAATGAAAAGCTTTTTTTAAAATTTAAAAATTTTTTTTTTTTTAGGAAGATTAACCCTGAGCTACCATCTGCCACCAATCCTCTTCATTTTTTGCTGAGGAAGATTGGCCCTGAGCAAACATCCGTGCCCATCTTCCTCTATTTTGTATGTGGGGCGCCTGCCACAGCATTGGCTTGATAAGCAGTACATAGGTCCACACCTGGGATCTGAACTGGCGAACCCCAGACCACCAAAGTGGAACGTGCGAACTTAACCGCTACATCACCAGGCTGGCCCCTAAGATGAAAAGATTTTATTAGATTCTATCTAAGCTCCTTTAACTATATATATTTTTTTGTAATCATATCAAATGTGAAATAGTTTAGTAAGTGAGGAAGAGACATGCCAAAGCCTTCGATGGGGAAGGGTGGGCGGCAGGTATATATGGCTACAGTGTGAAGTGCGGCTCCTCAGGGAGTTTAGGGGTGCGTGTCTAAAGACAGAGCTAGCTGATGGCTAATAAGATAGAAACAAACAGTGGATAGCAAAAGGTAGTTGCAGGGTTTACCAATAGAGTAGCACTATTGCGAAATTTTTTTTCCCCCCAATTAAGAAAAGCTTTAAATTAAATTAAAGACTGGAGAGAAGCTGCCTGTAGTGTCTTTTAGTGCGAAGAGGAGGACCTGAGCCTCAGAGAAAGCAAAGCTGAGGGTGTAGAAACAGAAACCATTCTGGGCCCTGTGTGAATTTTAACTGTTGGGCCACAACTTTCCATTGGTCTTTTTCTCTGCCCTCGCTCCCCCACCCCCTCACCCCACTTCTTAGAAGTTCAGATCTAGAGTTTAGCAAAAAGCCAGTTCTTAGCAGATATTTATTCCTTTTGTACTTGAAGGATTTTGTACACGCCCTGTCAAGTTATCAGTAGATATTTAAAAATATGCTCAGTACCCAGATAAACCTGATTCTGTTTTAAGGGATTTGACCTGTTTTGTTGTTTAACATTTCATAAAGCATGATGACGTTTGAAATTTTGTATCTGTTTCCTGTTGTGATTCTTCTTTTTTTTTGTTTTTTTTTTTTGAGGAAGATTAGCCCTGAGCTAACTGCTGCCAATTGTTCTCTTTTTGCTGAGGAAGACTGGCCCTGACCTCACATCCGTGCCCATCTTCCTCTACTTTATATGTGGGATACCTACCACAGCATGGCTTGCCAAGTGGGATCCAAACTGGCGAACCCCCGGCCACTGAAGTGGAACGTGCGCGCTTAACTGCTGCGCCACTGGGCCGGCCCCTCTGATTCTTTTTAAATATTCAGAGGTCTTGATTACTGGAATACCTTCTTTAATAAATACATTTTAAGGCCATTATTGTTTTCATAGTTTTAGTATTTCCAACAGTTTTGTTATTCTGAGGCAAACCATATTTTTGCTCTAATATATTTGAGGTTGTAAAATCAAATGTTTCATTATTCATTTTAGACTGTAGAGCACCAATATTATCTTCTTCTTGTTATGAGGACCCCCGAAAGTAAACCTTTGGCAAATAGTTTAGGAAAGTGAGTAAGGAGTCTGACTTCTCTTTAACTTTTCAGCTCATAAAGAGCCAGCTTAAGACCAAATGGCCAAAGACATTACTTTCAGATTCTAATGTAGAGAATTAACATTTTTAGATTTTTAAAAAATTTTATAGTGCACTCTGTAAAATTGCCCTCACTTTTAGGCATAGTTACCCTTAGGAAACTGCTCTGGAGTTCTTAGTCCATTAAGTCTAAAAAAACTCTGGAATGTTTTAAGATTTTGTGCTGGATTACATCCTGGAAAAGAAAATATACAGTTTTATGTTAATAGTAATAACCAGATAAAAAACAAAGGCTTCTTACCCTAGGTAGCTTTTTTTTTGGAGATCAGACGTTTACTCTGTTGAAGAGTATCAATTTCTGATGTACTGACAACTTGTTAGGCCTGTAGGACGTGTAGGAGGGTCACCTCTATGGTATTCGAGCTCTCATACCCTTTATCAGAGCCTCTTCTGTGGCCCTGTAATTAAATATTATTTTATGCATCATTTTGAAATTGTATTTGGGCAGGGCAGTTAAATGTACAGTAACAAAATATATCCGTTTTTTTATATCTTTCAGAATCATGGTGTCATGGAAAGGGATTTACTTTATACTCACACTGTTTTGGGGAAGCTTTTTTGGAAGCATTTTCATGCTGGGTCCCTTTTTACCTTTGATGTTTATAAACCCATCTTGGTATCGCTGGATCAACAACCGCCTTGTGGCAACCTGGCTCACACTTCCAGTGGTAAGTTACACACCAGAGAAGGAGACTGTCTGTACCAAAGTAGCCCAACCTATTGATTTTTATTTTGTTAGTTGGATTTGATCGAATGTTAGAAGAAACATTGAAGTCCTTCCTGTTACGTAAGGACACATTAGAATTGAGAGAGGGAAATACAGAAACTAGAGAGAAATAGAAATAATTCATGTCCTTGAAGTAAAATATCTAATTAAGAGCTGTATTCCAAAGTTGACTTTCTTCCATATTCTTCACAAATTTTCTTTTTCATTTTCCTTCACTGAGGTATTATTTACCTATAGTAAAATATACAAATCTAGAGAGATTGAAGAATTTTAACATTAATTTTATTTTGTGTTTCCATTTATTTTACAAAACAATGACAAAAATGGATTCAGATGGCAAACTTTTTTTAAACTTGTGACAATGATGTGATTGATTGAATTCTTCTCAGTAACCACAGAATTTAGGAATAAAGTGATTTCCTATCTGTGGGCTAGGTTAACAACATTTGCAAGTTAGATGTGCATACAAAATGAGCAATAGCTTCTTGGAACAGCCAGGTATTCTCTGTAAGATCAGTGCATACTACTCTGAGCACATCTCTCTGATCCTGAGCTGGCAAGTTCCTGTAGGATTCCAGTCCAGACTCCTCCCTTGTCTGGGACTCTCTGTTGCTGCTAATCAGCAGTGCTTTCTTCAAAAAGTGGAGTGATGTGCATGCAGCTGCCTTTACCTTGAATAGCTGTATTTCCCGAGAGTGTTCTGTGCCTTCTTTTTCCTGAGCAACACCTAGAACTTGTTGACCTGTTATAGTGGAGGTCATGACTATAATACCTGAAAGGAAAACAAGAAGGGAATCCTCTTCCTTTAATTGTTGAAGGAAATTAAGTTGTCTGTTTCTCCTCAGGCAGATTGCCATTGTTATGTTTCTAGAGAGGAAAGTACTGTGCTAATGCTATAGACCCTTCAGGTGGAGGTCAATTGGGAAATATTTCCTGAAACAGTGGTGAGTGTTCCTACCTTGATGGAGTAGAAGTTTCTTAAAATTTCTGTAAATTGAATTTTGATAAATCATTTACAGTACACCCTGTTTTTCATATTTTAAAAAGGAATCCTGTGATGAATAATTTTACAAATTGCATTCATATTGTTTACAAGGTTAATTTGTTTTTAAATTTTTATTCAGATGTCTGTTTTATGAAATGTGGTATACTGTTAGACTAAAAGTAGTCCCCTATCTCTCTCTCTCCCTATGCCCTCTTCCTCTTTCCTTCCCCTTTTCTTTTCTGTATTTCCACTTAAAGTTATCTGATCTATAGGCACAAAGAAAGGGACGATAGCATACTGGTGGATAATAAATAACTGTGCTTTGGTTGTATATCTAATTCAGATATAAGGAGAAAAATTTGAAGGTTTCATTAAAAGCAAAAATCAAAGTAAAATCCCAAGGGTAATGATGGTCATAGCTGTTGAGAACTTAGGTGGCAGATATTGTGCTAAGTGCTTTGGGAGGATGGCTTCATTTCAGGTGCCACCATTGTCCCCATCTTACAGAAGAGGAAATAGGAACTTTGAGAAATTAAATAATTTTCTCAAGGTCATGTGCATAAGCAAATTATTTAAGCACAGCTGAGGTTAAACCTAGATTGTCTTCTGCTTTTAGACCCTTAGGTGGTAGGAAAACCTTCAGGGATTGATTCCCATTGGTAACAAGTTCATTCATGATTGGTTCTAAAGAAGAAGGTTTGCAGTTCTTTCAAGCCAGGGAATGCCTGACTTGAGAAAAAACCTATCTGAGAAAGTGGTAACTAGTAATAAAATCAGTCTCTATTTTAAGTAACTAAAATAAAATCAGTAATAAAATCAGTAGTGTGATGATTTCCTCACAGTGGAAGACGAAAGTTGGCAAGAAACAGTCATAGAAAGCCTTCTCATTTGCTAGAGAGCCAAAGACACAGGTTGCTGAGATACCTGGAACAAGGTACATATTAATAAATAATTGTTGAGTGAATAGACAAACACAGAGAAGTTTCAAGGTCACACTGCCCAAACTTGGTATCAGGGTTGTGCTGGCTTCATAAAAGTAGTTGTGCAAATGTTTCCCCCTCTTCTGTTTTTTGAAAGACAATTTTATGTATAATAAAAAGAAAGTATGTAAATATATATATTTTTTTGTTCATGGCTTAGGGATTACATAATATATCTTTAGTGTACTTAGAGTTGATATTTACCTACCTCATATAAAGTGTAAGACCGTTGTAACAGTGTAGTGCATTTATTCTCACATCCTTTGTGCCGCTGTTGTCATAGTACATCTACTTAAATAATAAACTTCATAATACAGAGTCAACTTTTTGCTTTAAATGGTTACTTTTAAAGAAATGAGAAGAAGAAAAATATGGTCTTTTATTTATCTAAATATTTTCCATTTATACTGTTCTTTATTCTTCCTGTATATTAGAGTTTCCATCTAGTGTCATTTTCCTTCAGCCTAAACAACTACTTAAGCTCTTCTTCTAGTGAGGGATCTTGCAGATGAGTTCTGTTTTCATTTATCGATGCAAATAATCCATAATCAGTCTATAAATCAAAATTGGGGTGAATTGGGAGCCAGCCCCGTGGTTAAGTTCGTGTGCTTTGCTTCGGCGGCCCAGGGTTTCGCCTGTTTGGATCCTGGGTGTGGACATGGCACCGCTCATCAGGCCATGCTGAGGAGGTTTTCCACATAGCACAGCCAGAAGGACCTGCAACTTGAATATACAACTATGTACTGGGGGGTGCCTAGGGGAGAAGAAAGAAAAAAAAAAGATTGGCACCTGAGCTAACATCTGTTACCAATCTTTCAAAAGAAAAAATTGGGGTGAGTTTATTATGAGCCATGTCTGAGGACTATAGCCCGAGTGCTTCCTTCCTCGTGGAAGGAAGGGCACCAAAGACATGGGGTGTACAGAGTGGTTATATACTGTCTTGGAACAAAGAGCATGCATCACATATAACAGGAATATCTCTTTTACTAGTCATGAGATTCTTAGCTGGCACAGCAGGTTGGTGGTCAGCAGGTCAGTGGTCACAAGGTGAGCACAGTAGGTCAGTAATAATTAATCCTTAGTTTCCAGGAAGAGATGCTTATCCTTAAAGAAATGCCCATATGGGAGGAAGCTACATCCTATCTTTAAGGGCATCATTCTTGTCTTTGGGACATAGTAAATGTTTAAAGCAGATGTAGAATGCATGCTCAACAGGCCACGTCAGGCCCTTTTGGAAAAACAAGGTCAGGTCGATTTAGTTTTACACCAAATGTCTTCCTCATATACTCCAGTATATCCTATTGCTTTTCATTTACTTGTCACATTTAATTGAAGATTTCTTTATTTTGCCTTCATTTTTGAAGGATAGTGTTGCTGATTATAAAATTTCTGGGATGACATTTTTTTCATTTTAGTGTCTTATGGTCTTCATTGTTTTTGATGAAAAGCCATCGTACAATTTTTTTTTTTTTTTAAAGATTGGTACCTGTGCTAACAACTGTTGCCAATCTTCCTTTTTTTATTTTTTCTGCTTTATCTCCCCAACCGCCCCCCTGTACACAGTTGTATATCTTAGTTGCAGGTCCTTCTAGTTGTGGGATGTGGGACGCCACCTCAATGTGGCCTGACGAGTGGTGCCATGTCTGCGCCCAGGATCCGAACCCTGGGCCGCCACAGTGGAGCGCACGAACTTAACCACTCGGCCACGGAGCTGGCCCCTATCATACAATATTGTTGCTTCCCTTTATGCACTGTGTCATATTTCTATGGCTGTTTTCAAGATTTCTCTTTGTTTTTTAGCAGTTTAATTATGATATGCCTGGGTATAGTTTTCTTTATATTTATTTTGCTGTGTTTCATTGGGCTTCTTAGATCTATAGCTTTGTTTTTTCCAAATTAGGAAATTCTGGGCCATTATTTGTTCACATACTTTTTTCTTCCACATTCACTTTCTCCTCTTCTTTTGGGACTACAATTATATGTATGTTAGGTTGCTTATGTTGTCACACAGGTCACCAAGTTCACTGACCCTTTTTTTTTTTTGCCATCTCTAATCTGCTTTTTTGTTTATACAGTGCATTTAAAATACTGTACTTTTAAGTTCTAGAATTTATGTTGGGTTCTTTATTTGTTTATTTCTTTTTTGAGATTCCTCATCTATTTATTGTTATGAGCGTGTTTTCTTTTCAGTCAGGTGGGTGGTAAGTCTAGTGCTGTTCGCTCTGCCAGGGCTGGAAGCAGCACTTACCCTCCTTACTCTTTTTTTCCTCCCCTGTAGCATGTACTTTGCACTGAGTATTTGTACGATTCCTACATTATTGGTATGGATCCTCCTTATTCTTTTAGGCAAAATTTCTTTTTCCTTCCTTAATAGAAGGGTGTTTTGTTTTGTAACTTGTGTTTATTGCAAAAGTAGGATCCCTGACCATTCATCCAGCAACTATTTATTAAGTGTCCACCATGTGCCAAGCATTTTGCTAGGATGTAGTGATGAACAGGACAGATATGACCTCTGTCCTTGAAGAGATAATAGTCTTCTACCTTAACTTTCTTCCTTAGTTTTAGATTTACACAGCTTGACTAGTTTCTTTTCTGACTTTCATTTGCCTGAAAGACTTCCCAGGCAAATGAAAAATCCAACCTTTTAGAGTTAGATTTTTAAATCAGCTTTAAAGTTGTGAAGTCCAGTGTTTCATTGCAGACCTCAAAACTACCATTTAATATAAAATATTCATTTTGTGGTATTGCTTTAACTGCTATCACTAGCTCATTTACAAAGTGATTATTTCTCCATAAAATATCATATTTATGTTAAATTAAATATGTTGTTCACTTCACATAAAATTAACCATCATAAGTAGATATTTCTAAAAAGTCAACACAGTCTAAATGTTAAATAATTCCATTTATAGTCATTATAAAACCAGTTAAAGTTTTCACTTTTTCAAGTCATTTACATGACTCGTTTTAGATTTT